TTTTTTTTTTTTTTTGTGCGTGTTTAAAATCATCGAGGGGAGGGGAAAATTGGGCGAAAAAGGGGGGGAAACGGGTAAAAAATCCTTTAAAAAAAAAAAAAAGGGGAAGCGTGACGAGTATGGAACTAGTTAACCTTTAACAATTTATGCTGATGTCACACTGAGCATGAGTACTGATTAATCCCCCCCCGAAATATTTTTATGGGAGTGAGGCGAGGAGGGGGGGGGGAAAGAATAAGGAGAAAGAGAAGAAAAAAAAAAAAAAAAGCAGAGAGAGAAAAAAAAAAAAAAAAAAAAAAAAAAAGAAATAATTTACCGCAGCCATCTTTGTTTTATGCAGAAAAATCTCCGGCTTCGGGTCCCCCCCGGCTGGGGCCACACAAAAATTGTCCCTCGCCGAGCCGGCATCTGCGGGAGGGGGAAAAGCAAAAAAAAATATTATTAATGAGGCCCCCAAAGCGACCAAAAATACCCTAAAATGAACAAATTGGGGATTATTCGCCTGCTCGGGCTGTAGCGGCGAACGCTGGGGGGGGAGGGTGGGGTGGGGGGAGCTTTGGGGTTTTATTATTTTTGAGGGGTTTCGTGGTTTTTGAATTTTTTTTTTTAAGTGTTTTTAAGGATTGGTTTTTTTCGTGGGTCTTGTTTTTAATTTTTTTTTTTAACCTCGCGCGGTTGATTTTTAAGGTTTTTTTTGGCGCTTCTTTTTTAACGTTGATTTTTACCCTTTTTCAGCCCTTTCCATTTTTTATGTTTATTTTTAACCTTTTTTTTTCAAAATTTTTATTTTTTTTCCTTTTTTTTTTTTTTTTTCCCTTTTTCAGCCCTTTCCATTTTTTATGTTTATTTTTAACCTTTTTTTTCCATTCCCTTCCCTTTTTACATTTTAATGTCAGTTTTTGACTCTCCTCTTTTGCCATATCAATTTTAAGGCTGATTTCCCCCTTTTTCCTTCGCATTTTCCCCCCTTTTTAAATTTTAATGTCCATTTTTACCCCTTTTTGCTTTCCCTTCTTCCCCTTTCCCATTTTTCCACCCCATTTTTTCATTTCGCCCTTCCATTCCCCCCCAATTTAACTCCTTTTCAATCCTCGCCTTTATTTCTTTCATTCTTCCCCCCGAACGCTTCCCTTTTCCTCCTCATTACTATTTTTTAAAAAAAATATTAATTTAATTTTTTTTATTCCTCAATTCCCCTCCCCCTTTCGCGGGCTGGGTTTTGTCGCTGTTTTTTTTTTTTTTTTTTGTGCGCGCCTGTGTTTTTAAGGCTTTTTTCGCCTCTTTTTCACCCTCCTTCCTCCCCTAAGGTGTGTGTGGGGCAACTTTAAAAAAAAAAAAAAAAAAAAAAAATCCTTCATTCGGCCCTTTTGGCCCTTTTTTTTTTTTTTTCCCCTCACGAAGCGGGGGCACCCCCCCCCCTTCATTTTCCCTCATTTTTAACCCCTCCCTCCTCCATATTTTTTTTACGCCTTCCCCCCCCCCCCCTTTACGGGGTGTGTTTTTTATCATCATTATTATTTTTTTTTTTTTTTTTTTTTTTTCCTCTCTTTTTGTGTGTGTTTGCTGGAGGGGGGGGGGGGTGTTTTATTTTAAAATTACACCCGGGGCGGCCATTTTCGCTGCCGGCGCCGTCCCGCCGCCCGCCGCCTCCCGCGCCCTGAGGCGATTTTAACCGATCCGGGCGTTTTTCAGCCCAGCTCCGCCGCCCCCCCCGCGGCCCCGCCGGGCCCGGCCCGGGGGGGGGGTCGCCCCGTCCCGCCTTTCTCTTTTTCTTTTTCTCTTTCTCTCTCTCCTTCTTCCCCCTCAATTTTCTCCTCACACCGAGCCCCCCTCACCCCTCAGCGGCGGGGGCGGTTTGGGGCGGTGGGAGCGGTCCGGGCCCCCCGCCCCTCAACCCCGCCATGGCGTCCCCGCTGAGGGAGGACGAGGAGGAGGAGGAGGAGATGGCGGTGTCCGAGGGGGACGAGGAGGACGACGATGAGGAGGACGACGAGGAAGAGGAGGAGGAAGACGTCGCCGCTGCCGCCGCTGCCGCCGCGCTTTTGGCCGGCCACCGAGGGGCCCCCGACATCTTCGCCGGGCCGGCCCCGGCCCCGCTCCCGCCGCCGCCGCCGCCGCCCCCCGCGCCCGCCGCGCCCGGGCCGCCGGAGGCGCCCGCAGGTACCGCCGGGACCCCCGAGTGACCCCTCAGAGATTCCCGGGGAAACCGCCGGGACCCCCCGAGTGACCCCTCAGAGATTCCCGGGGAAACCGCCGGGACCCCCCGAGTGACCCCTCAGAGCTTCCCGGGGGAACCGCCGGGACCCCCGAGTGACCCCTCACCCTCGATCCCCTCAAAGATTCCCGCAGTTACCGGAGGCCCTGAGCCCTCAGAGATTCCCGGAGGAACCGCCAGGACCCCCCGAGTGACCCCTCAGAGCTCCCCCCCGAATTCCCTCAGACATTCCCGGGCATACCGGGACCCCCCGAGTGACCATCCCGAGCCCCTCAGAGCTTCCCGGAGGAACAGCCGGGACCCCCGAGTGCCCCCTCACCCTTGATCCCCCCAGAGATTCCCGCAGTTACCGGGAACCCCGAGCCCCTCAGAGCTTCCCGGGGCCTCTCCCCGAGCTCCCCGTTCCCGCTCGCCCGGAGGTGCCCTCAGGTACCGAGACCCCCCCGATGCTCACCGGTGTCCCCTCAGCTCTTCCCGGCCGTACCGAGCCGTGCTGTCCCCTCAGCTTTTCCCGGAGCTTCCAGCAAGTACCAGGGCGCTCTGACCCCCATCTCCGGTTCCCTCCGAGCTCCCTGCAGGTACCGGGGCCCCTTGAGCCCCACTGTCCCCTCAGAGCTTCCTGCAGGTACCGGGGACCCCCTGAGCCCCACTGTCCCCTCAGAGCTTCCTGCAGGTACCGGGGACCCCCTTGAGCCCCACTGTCCCCTCAGAGCTTCCCGCAAGTACCGGGGACCCCCTGAGTCCCATCTCTGGTCCCCTCAGCTCCTCCTGGAGCTTCCCGAGGGTACCGGGACCTCCTGAGCCCCCAAGGCCCCTCAGTGCTCCCCGGAGGTACCGAGACCCCCTGACCCCCTCCTCCATTCCCCTCAGAGCTTCCCTCAGGTATCAGGGACCCCCTGACCCCCTCAGAGCTCCCCACAGGTACCGAGACCCCCTGACCCCCTCCCTGATCCCCTCAGAGCTCCCCACAGGTATCGGGGACCCCCTGATCCCCTCCCTGATCCCCTCAGAGCTCCCCATAGGTACCGGGACCCCCCCCAAGACCCCCCAGTGCCCTCAGCGCTCCCGGCCGCACCAGGGCTGGGGTGTGAGGGGAGGGAGGTGTTTGTAAACAACCGCGAGTGTCCCCGGGAGTGTCACCGGGAGTGTCACCGTGAAGTGTCACCGTGCGGCCACCCGTGTGTGGGGACACCTCCCGCCGCACGCTGCGTGAGGGGACACGGTGGAGGTGGCAGGAGGACAGCGCTGAGGGGGTTGAGGGCTCCAGGGGTGCGGCGATGGCGCTGGGGGACACCTGAGGGGACACCTGAGGTGGCTGAGGGGTGATAGGGGCCCATGGTGCCCTGCCAGGACC